TCCCAGGTCAGGAGGGATACACCAGTCAGCAACCGGAACTTCTTCTCTGTGTTTGAGAACAAACTCTGAGAGTTTCTGAAGATGTCGTTTGGTGTATGACGTCACTGGTGAGACATCCTTCTTTGGCAGATAATCGTTGGTCCAGAGCAATGCACAGGGTCAGACCCATGAGAGCAGAGACAGGCAGAATGACCAAGGGAACAAACCAAAGTTCGGAATCTGAGAGTCGGTCCAGAGTCAAAACAGGTTATCAAAGATACAAGGACAATCTAGGGGAGAATCCTAGGTCAGGTTACAGAAAACAGGTTATAGATCCAAAAACACATTATGACAGGTTCGATAGGGTTTAGACAGAGAACCAGAATAAGATCAGACTTAAGTGGGCAGGCATGTTTACAGAAACGCTGGATAAAACTCACCAATGGTTTGTAATAATCTGGTACTAGTGACTGATCCGAGAGTTGCTTACATATGTTGAATACTGAAGCAGATGAGAACTATTGCCAGGAATCATGACAAAAATGATAACGGTATCTTAGTATTCAAAATTGTGCTTCAAAAAGATTAAAAAGGATAACATAATAAGTATGCCATTGGGAGAAAAATCAAACAAGGATTGTTTTCTTTTTAACATCACAATATGCTGTCAAAAACAGCAGTCGATTTAAGGCTGTAGTTTAAAACAAAAACCACATTAAAAATAACATAACTGAATTCAAGAAATAAAAGGAAAATTTTAACCCTGTGCTGTGTAGAGCTGGCGTCTCTTTGTGATTCATCTCTTTGGAGAACAGACACAGAAAGCAATATTCTCAGCTTTCGAATTAAAAACATATTAATTGGTTTAGAATGTACTTTAAACTCAAGTTTTAAACTCAAAGTTTTGTAAAGAGGATCCAAAACTAATCTATGGTATAAAATGGCAGAATCTGTTTTAGCTTAAAAAAAAAATTTTTTGACCGAATATGTCATCTTCAATTTGACTTTTAAAATGTTGATTAAAGTTATTTTGACAAAATATATTTGATAGTTATTAGGACTACAAAATATACAGATATTAAAATTGCATAATGATAAAAGGTTCCTGTGTCAATAACAAAAAATTCAAGCAGAATCTATACAGATTGAATAAGGCCGGATAAAGAATTGAACCCTCCGGCACAAAGGTCACTTTGCTATTTTAAACCTATCAAGAACAATAAACTACATTTTACCTGATACATAAATTTAGTTGCCTGCTTTATAAAAGCACTACATTCCTATAAAATCTTTAAGATCACATGGAACCAATTCTCTATTTACTAAGTGCTATTTCTGTACAGTTCTTACAGAAAACCTAACTAGAGAGAAAATGTGTATAAAAATTCCCAATCCTCTTTCTATCTTCCTGCCTTAAGATCAAAATAAATCATCCCTGTTTACATCAATTCATTATCACCTAAATTATTTCTACTAGCTTTATTTCATTTACTTCAAATTTCAGTACTCTCTATATATTTTCTTAGCTTTTGCGTTATAAACATTATTATTTAGGTCAAATGTTTTAGGTACCACTTTCTCAACAGTAAGTCAAATATTGGTCTTGTCCTGCTTACAGAACTGATCCGATTCAGATTTGTAGCCTTTTCAGGTTTGCCCACTAATTTTCTATAGAACTGAATTCAGGGCCTTGCCACTGCCACTTCAGCAAGTTTGAAACAAATTCGACAATATTTACAGGATCATTGTCCATTTGGAAGAACCAACATCATGTTATACCTTGTCATCTTTTTTAGATGCTACTTTTTTTTAAAGCCATCTATGAAATAAAGAACACCATTCACAACACGGCATACAGAAAATACCAACAAGGCATAAACAGCTTCTCATCATCTGTTGGTGATACCACTTGAATCAAAAGGGATTAAATTAAACAAAAATGACAGAAAAAAAGATCATTACCACCGTTTTGTTTGCACAAAGCTTTTATGAAAAAAAAATGCAGAATTGAATCAATTCAGTCATGCTTTATAATATTCCCAGTAGTTAGAGGGCTATATATGAATTTAGGATTGCTAGTAATCTCAGACAATGAAGTTGAAATTTTATTGTCAAAGTATTTAAAACTGTGAGCCTTTTACAGACAGCATTTAGAGTCATTCGTATCTGCTGTGATAAAGAGAAATACAGAATGTGAAGCTCTTCACTGCAGACTAACCTCAAGGTCTTGAAAAACAACAACTTGGTGGAAAACAAACTACTTACAGTGCAAAGGTGTTTTAAAAGAACTAAGAAAGAAACAGACACATGTCAATGCAATAAAATTAAAGTATCACAGGTTTAGCTACATTAAAAACATGCCAGCAAAAAAAAAACCAAAGACAACAAAAAACAATGCATGGGAAAAACAAAACACCAAAGCAGAGTTAATAACAATATGTAGTCTTAAATGACAATATCATAAATAAAACAAGAAATCCATGTTTAAAAATGTACTCCCTATGGTAAAATTTTATGTTTCTCTCTATAGATTTAACACAGCAGACAATGAGACAGTGACTTATTTAAGCAAAGCATCGGATGAGTCAACATGAAGGAACACATTGTGGATAACATGATGATCCTTTGGTCTTTCACCAAGGGGAAGTCGTAATAGCCATGAGAAAAAATCAGTTAGTTGTGGGGAATCATTTTGGTTTTCTCGGCTCCGATTCTCTGAATACCATTTTAAACAGAGGCATGAAGGTTTACCCGTGTCATTTACTGATATCTTTGGGCTGCATACAAAATCTTGGCTGTTATTTTAAACACCAGCAATTTACAAGCAAAATATCCCAATAAACCAAAACAAAACAATGGCAAACATCAGAGCACAATTTAATAAAGACCCCTCCTTCTGAGTGTCATAAATATTCATATTCTTTAAATGCATGATGAACTACTTTAAGAGCGGATTCATGGGAAAATCTTATATTATTTCAGTCAAAGCTGTTTGACGCTTTGGATCACTGTGTCCCTCCGAATGTTATAAGTATCACACGCTTAATGTTTTATGACTATCCTCTTTGAATCTATTGAACCAGTTAACATCAATAGCTATAAGAGAACCCACTTGGCCTTTGAGTTGATCAGAAGGAAGTTTTAACGAGCATCTTGGAACAGAGGGGGTTACTCTTTGCCACTACCTTTTCAAAACCAATGAAGCAGGAATGCCGTGATTGGGGATTTGTAAGTTATTCAGACAACAAAAGAAGCTTTGAATGGTGCCGTCCCTATTTTCAGTATGAGTGACAACTTTTGTTAGGGCCCCCAAGCGACTACTCCACCTACGGGTGCATCACAGTTATTTAGAACACCATGGAATAGTGAAAACTTCTTAAGGGCAGGGGTGGACAGATATACTGCATCCTTACCATACTTTAGTATGCATTTTGATTCTCAGGGTGACACTTTAGCATTTGTTTTTTAACCAATTGAGCGGGGGAGGGGGAACGACTGCAGTCCTGTCATGGTCATGTTACGATTCTCTTATAGCTGCAGTTGATTCAGAATGCTGCTGCCCACATCCTCATCCTCAACTAAGAGATTAAAGCACATCAACCCGGTTATAAACTGGTTTCTCTTGCTCCCCCCTTACTGTAATCAGTAAAACATGATTTTAGTCTATAAATCACTGAATTGCTTAGCACTAAGATACATTACAGATCCCTCAGTTATTCTAGCTTTAATCCAGAAATGGAGGATCTGGAGTCAACAAGTCATCTATATGTCATATATTCATTCTGCCCAGCCACTGAAGCAGGTGAGTCCAATCTGCACAGTGAATTAACCCTTGCAGATTGGACTTACCTGCTTCAGTGGGTTCAGGGCAGAACAAATACATTACATAGTTGACTTGTTGACTCCACACCCCCCATCTCTGCTTAAATACACTCTCCATACCCAGAACCAAACAAGGGAAGCTTTTTTAATTCTTAAACTCTACTAATCTGACGTTAACACACAGTAAAAGTGCTGAAACTCTTAAGTCCCTTTAAATCAACATTAAAAGCATTATTGCATAGAGTGGCCTTTGACTGTCCTTTCTAAACACAATTAGTTATGTTTTCATTGCAGCTTTTCCTTTAATTTTTTATCAAGCCTTTTTAAATATAATTTTATAATATTCTGTAATTATTTGTGTTGCCTTTATGCCATTGCAAAATACTTTTTCTTACTTATTTAGATAAAGGTAGAGTACACCCTGGAAAGGCCGCCAGTACATTAAAGTAAACGTGCCTTGCCTAATAGGATATACTTAAGCAGAGGCCAACACTGCTGTACACCTGGCATCTAAGAGTGAAAGCACTCGTAACCCAGAAATCCGTGGTAGCCTGGCTTAACTAGTGATTATAAAATTTAAGCTGCAGTGTTAATGCCCTGAAGGGTAATTCTAGATAGTATTTTTCAGAAGATTACTATTTCATCCTTTGCCACTGAAAAACAAAGGAACTGCAAAACAGTCATAAGGACACAAGAGTAAACAAACACAGCCTAACATTTTTTACAAAAAAACTCAAGGCTAGCACTTTAGGAAGAAGGTTCACTGTATGTTCTACGACATTCTCCCGAACTTTCAAAGAGCCAGATGACTGTTTTACCTCCAGGTGTTTTGCCCACATGAAAAATTACTGTGTTGCCCACTGTGAGGCAACTCAGCAGGAGGTCACAGAGACAGACGCGTTCAGCCCAGTAAAAATTAGACATTTCAAAAGTTGACATTTTTTAAATACAATCTAAACCAAAGACTATAATAATTGGTATAATTATTTACTCTATAAAGAGGCCATTGCATTTCTCATATTTGTATTCCCTGTCGATAGACCTTTATGAGTAAGCTTTCATCATTAGTTTTGAAAGTGTGCTTGTATGATGCTAAGCTGTTTCAGACATTACCTTGTAAGGTGGAGAGTAGTCAGGGCCCTGAAAAGCCTTGCATGAGACAAAGACGGCTCTGTCTCCTTGCAGCTCTGTGGCAGGAAAACTCCTGTCATTTCTCTGGATGATGGGAATTCTACAGGTGCACTCAGTAAGTGAATGACGATGATAAGCAAGTGACTAAATGCTTAATTTGAGGCTGCCAATGCAGTTTGCTTTTTCCTAAACGTTCAGCTGCAGAAGCACGTGTGCAGTTGATAGATGTAGCCCGCCCTTGGAAACAGGGCACTGGGTTATATAGACCTACATCATCTTTGAATATTACAATCATATAGCAGTTATAAAATAGTTTTGGGAAAGAGATAACCATATTTGTATTTTTAAAAAATAATGCTTACACCAATAAATATATATAATTTTAGCCAGTTGAATTGTAATAAAAACAAATCAGCAAATTTATTTTACAAACATGTTTATTCACTAAACTGTGCAACATTATCTAGCCAGCACCTAAGGAATAGCAGCTCCTGGCTGTAATTAAAATGCCTGTTTAAACATTGGTGGCTTTTTGTTTAATTTTGTTTGTATCATAACTCATTACTGTTAAATGAAAAAAATGCTACTAAAAAGAAATAAAAGTCTGTTTTAGGTTTGGAAATGTATTTATTAAGTAGTTCTAAACAATTCTAAACAAAACATTCCAGTAGTAATAATGTAGTTGTTTTGGGGGGGGTTATTTGTTTGAAGAATAATCTTTCATGCAGGATAGCTCATTTCCAACCTATATAATGTAAATGTTTAGGTTGTGTAGTTCTAAAAAAAAAAACAAATGCCTTTTTTTGTTTTTTTGCCAAACACGATGCAGTGCATTACTGTATGTTTTCTAATGTCTAATGTCTCTACGTTGGTCTCATTAGTGCAAACCTTGTTTATGCTGTCCACTGATTAATTTGCATGCAGCTTTAAAAACCTAGTATGTCATACTGCCATAATCTTTTTATAGTAAAGATTTTATCTCCAGGAAACTCCCATAATTATTTTAATTGTTTCTCTAATTATTAATTTAAAAGTTTAACTGCTAGTTGTCTATATGCCCAACTCCACTACCTCCTAAACTTCAGCCAGCTCCTTTATTTCCTACTGGATAGACAGATTAATCCAGGTGTGTCTGGTCACTCTCGTCATGGTTACTGAGGTCACACATGCCTGGATTAATCAGTTTTTCCAGTAATGAAAGACAAGAAACAAAGGAGTTTGCTGAAGTTCAGGAAGTAGTGGAGCATCACATGGTCTGACATTGGAAATACTTTCCTTGGACAACCAGTCTACCAGAGAGATTAAAAAATATTTTTAATTTGTCAATTTCTTAATAAGATTTTTCACTATTTCTCATTTGATAGATTGAATAAGGTTTTAGAGTGGCCTTATAACCTGTTTAATATTGTTGGGCAGAAGCGGTTGCTTCTGTAGGGTCTTTGCAGATGTCTTTCTTTCTAGTTATTGTGATAGCACACATCTAGGCTACTGACTAGCAAACCTCTGCTTTTACAGAGATTTGTTTTGTAGTTATAGATTTTTTTAATAAAAACTAAACAGAAGTAGAATAAAAAAAAAAAAAGCTTTCTTTCTTTTTAGCTTTATGGCCAGAAGGAACCCTCATGTGACCCCAGCAGCTCCTTCAAGAATACAGGCGCTTCTGGCCTATTTCATTTCTACAGACAAACTGAACCCCACAAAAGTTATGTCTAATGTTAAAAGACTGAACTTATGTTTAAATGTTAAAATGGCACCATTGAACTATTTAGAGGTGTCTCCAAATTGTCATTTTGTCTCATCACCCTAACCTCTATCACTCCCCTCTACTTTCCTTTGTAAAATACCCAATTCAAGAGGAGTGTAAAGGAGAGAGTGGGACATTCTTGTGGGGATTACTAGACCAACAAGAACATGTTACAGGAGGCTTAATCAGGTGGCCACCCGTGGATTTAAGCAGACAAAAAGGTATCATCAAAATGACAAAGGACTGCAAGAGGGTCTAAAAGCCAGAGGCATGATGAGATAAAGACCCTGAAGGTTGATGCATTGGTCTTACTGTGCGAACGCCAGGGACATCAAGATCTTAAGCTGGTAGCTGACTTAAAAGACAAGGTGTGGAAATTAAGACAGTAAAGAAACAACATATCCTTGTTAACCCCCTTGGAGACACCCATTTTAGTTGCTTTAGTGTCATACTTCCAGAAAATAAGTGCACAAAGACACAGAAAAGGTAGAGGTTAAATTATCTTTGGCAGAACTCTAGTTCACAGTTTGTAAATGGAAAAGATTGCATTTATTTATTCTTAGAAAACAAAGCATGCCAAAAAACACTGACAAAGAAGACTTGGTTCTTTACAAAGGGCCTTGCTTGCTGAACAACATTCTAATTTCTTTGTAGCAGAGAGGCTAAAGTTATACACAGCATCACTTAGCAGAATGCAGCATGTAAACCTAATTTCCCAATCCATTTCTAGATTTCAGGTCCTGTTCCATTTCGATGGTGACCATATAAACAGCTCCAGAAGACGTTGCAAAGGATATGAAGTTCCTAAGATCCACCCTGAAAGGTTAGAGAAAATATGTCAAAATTACTTGTCTAATTTAATTCATTTATTACAAGAGACAAGCAAAGTTTCACCAATGCCGCAGTAGGAAATTGTCAGAGTTTACATAAATCTGCTTTTCTTTTTTTGACAGCAACTTTCACATTCCCGGATAAAAATCTGGCACAGATGAAGGGAGTACCTCCTGGAATCTATTTCCTTGGCTGACATTGTTTTTGGTTTCATGCAGGGCTGCAAATATGACTTGTAATTAGGATGAATTATTAGTCAATCATGCATTTTGTCATGGAAACCCTTGTTATCCATTTAAAGCAGAAGAAAAAAAATGCAGTAAAATAAGTTTGTTGGACTGAAATGGTAAGAACATTTGCACAAAACCTGTTGCTTTTACACTGCTCAGCTGAATTGGACCACACCACACACACTGTAGCAATTGTCTGAGTAATGTATTGGGAGCCACAGCCAGATTTACAGTAATAAGAGAATAAAGTCTGTGAGCAAGATTTGATAGTAAAACAAGAGATATACTAAATCATATAGTATACTCCTCAGTATACTATATGAAAAAAATTGTAATAATGGGCAAAAATATTTTAATGGAGTACTAAATCTTCTAATGCAATTATTTCTTAATAACCCATAACTAGAGCTAAAATGAATCAAATGGACATTTGTTTGAGGTCATTCTATTGATGACTTATTGGATTATTGACCATGATTATTATATAAATCATGGTCAAGAAAAATAAGTAGATTTCTTAAAACTGTAAATAGAACTCACCAGGATTATTGTTGCTCCTCAGAGGATACTTTGCTAGGGGTATAAGGCATTCTCTTGAGGCCCTTTGTCTTCATCATTTGAAAAACTTTGATCAACAGGGATCCCTTGTGACACTAAACTGCAACCTGCACACAGTAAGAGAGAGTTTAATTACAGAGAACACAGAACTCTTTAAAATATACACCAAATGATAAATCACTATGTTTGTATATATAAATTAGTAAGGAAATTAATGTTTTCCCAACTACTGTAGTTAGGCAGTTAACATAATACAAATGCACAGGCATTCAAAACCCAATTGAACCTATTTGGACTGTGATACTATGAACCAAGAAAAAAGTAATGCATTACTGTTATGTTCATAATAATAAATTGGATACAGAGCAGTCTAAACAGCCCATCTTAAGTATTTCAACAGATTATTAGTTAGATTCAGGTCTGGACTTTGACTAGGTCATGCTAAAACATGAATATGTTGTTATCGAAACATTTCCTTTGAATCACAGACTGTATCTTTAGGGTTCTGCCCTGCTGGAAAGGAAAGCTCCACCCCAATCAGAATCATATTACAAGCAGACTGTATTTACCAATGAGGTGAACAAGAAGTTGGATTTCCTGAAGTAAACATATCAATTTGCAAATGTACACCACATCTCTTTTTTAATCTTTGTATATATTTACAAAAATATACACTATATGCATAATTTCCACAGTAAATCAAAACATCTCAGTAAAATATACCTACATTTTTGGGTTGCTCTTTTTTTTTTTTTTTACATAACATGTTATAAAGAAACATTTTTTTTTTTATAAGGCTCTGCATGTTGAGGTATCCAACTGCACAAAAATCAATTCAACCTTAAAAACCTTAAAACACCCAAAATTAGATGCAGGTATCATGCAGTACAAACACGTGTGATTATGTAAACTGTATATTGTATTTGCAAGAATGTTTTATGGCACATTTGTAGCTGGTTGATGACATTGTTGGTGGTGCTGTTAAACTTTTTTAGCCCAGGAACACGTAGCAAACTTTATCAACAATAGAGCTCTCTTTCATCAACAGAGACAGGCACACCTGTGGGCCCTGCAATCCTGCCACTAGGCTACTCCCATTCAGAGATAGCCAGAATGAGAATCTGTATTAGAATAAAAAACTCAGATATATTTAGAGATAGAACAGGTCTACTAAAGCTGCTAAAATGAACAAATGAAGAATTGTTTCTCATTGTGGTTCTCCTCTTAAGAAACTCAGCCTGTCAGCGAGACTGCTTTTCTCCTTTTCTTCCATTCTCCCTCTATCTCTGTTATCTCTAGCTCCCTCATTGTGAGTGATGCTTCCTGTGTTTTCACTATCAGTAGCTAAACCTGTAGGGAGGGGGTCAAAGAAAGCTCCCCCAGCTCTGCACAGCAAGAAAACACAGCCTGAGGCCTAAAGGTCAAAAGAGGCCAACATGTCAGAGGGGGGAAAAGAAAATCAGAGGCCACTAAAGCATCAGCCTGGTCTGATGTTGTGTTTCTGATCTGAGTGAACCTGGCGACAGCTAAATAGATGGGCTTTCACATGGTGCGAAGGAATTCTATGACCTCAAATACTGTGGAGGAAAGATCTGTATTTTTCACATCTTTGTGAATATAGTCATTTTCCTATGGTATGTTTAGGAAGACTTTAAAATATATTTAAACATTTTAAAAAAGCGAAATGACTTCAGTATTGGAAATAAAGAGAGTTACAAGCTCCGACATCTTGCTGACAAGCTGAAAATTCACTAAATGGTGACTTTAAAGCCATTTAGCTCTTTGAACCCAGTGTGTGAAGAAGGGCCAAAGGAGGAGGGCATGTGTGCGCGTTTATGTGACAGAGAAAGTGTAGAACCAAAAAAACAGTGTGCTGAGGTCACAACACGAGTTGCTATGTTAATTTCTCATTGGGTAGCTTGGCTCGGGTTACCAATGCCGACGTTGAGAAAGTGGCAGCCCTGTACCCCAGCAGGCTGCAGGTCTACACCAGGAACAGGGTGTTTATGACGTCACATGCCTGTTCTGCGTGATGCAGGAAGGGGGAGACCACCTCTTGGTGTTGAAGCAATCATGGCAGACTTACAAGTGTTTCCCAGAAGCAGGCTACCTGGGGGTATATTCTCTGCTTTCAAGTTTCTACTAAAACCCTCTGCCTGAATATTAAATTACCTTTAACTGCTCAGTTTATTGGTCAGTAAAACTTGTTGAGGGAAAGCTAAAATTTAAGAGTTTCATTAAGAGCTGCTGTCATTGCTAAATCACATCAGAGGGTGACATCAGACTGGTAATGTGCGTAAGCTTCACCTGTTTGAAATTTCTGTTTTCTCTTTCCTTTTAATGTGCCTTTTAAAATTCCCCCTACTTTATTTGGAATTGTCAAATAATAGAAAACTTCAGTTTATATTAAAGAAACTTAAAATGATAGAACAACATAAACTTCTACTTGCAAATGGACGTTTTTTTTTTTTTTTTTTTTTTTTTTTCATAAAAATTGCAATGAGCATTCAGTTATTGAGTAAATGCTTTATACAACTACATATTGCTATTATAACTGTGGCTAATCTATGTCTCTAAGTCAGTGCTACCACCATGTTTCACTGTGGGACTAAAGCAATCTTTCAACATGAGCTGTCTTCTTGCAATTCTTCCATTAAAGGTATGACTTTTGAAGTGCATGACGTTATGTTTTGTGTGTGCGTTTCGTCTGCAGCTCCACCAGAATTGTCTTGGGCTGCTTGGGTGTTTCACTGATTCATGCTCTCCTTCCTAACCCAGTCTGTGTAGATGGAAAGATTTTCTGGGAGGATTGCAGTTCAGCCATAGTTTGTCAGATGGCGGACCGAACAGATGTTCAAAACCTGAGATGACATTTTGGACCTTAAACCTTTAAATTTGCAGAATTATAACAATGACCTGTCTGCTGTGTTCTTAGGTCTTCGAGAGGCATTATTTCTACCAATCTTATATAAGAAACCTCTGAATCCAACAGCTACATATGCACTTTAGAATCCCTGCTTGCAGACACCACAAATTTAAAAACTAATTTGTCATTTTATCAATTCATTTGTCACTTCGACAATAAAATATACATCTATCTAATCAAGGATCTTATGGTAATAGGCTGCACTTGATTCTATTTAGCTGTATGACAGTAAGGTGGGCTGAATATAAATGTTCACTACATTTTCTAGGGTTTATAATTTTGATGAACAAACCTGTGAGGAGGATTGTTGAATCCTTCGATGGATGACTGTTATCTTCACTTTGAGCTGGTTCGCTGTCACTGCAAAATTACACATTTTAGAGAAAGTCCTTTTTGGTTCAAAAAACATCACTTTCAGACAAAAGGAGTTTGAAAAGAAAAAGAGTGGATGTAGAAATAAGACATGGGGAGAAAGTGGTGGCACATCAATTTTGTAGCTTTGTTATGACGAAAAACAGCAATTTTATACCTAACGGCTTCCAGTCTTTTCTGGTCGTCAGTGTGGCTGAGCTGCCGGACGGTATCCTGCAGGCCTCGGATCTTAGCTTTCTTCTCATTCAGCACCATGACAAAACGTGAATACATTTCCTTTTCTAACATCTCCTTATCCTTAACCCCCTGCTCCAGCCTGTTGGGACAAACATTCAGTATATACCCATGTTAGACCTGACACAAAAAGACTAACACATGTTGTGGGCTGTGAGTCAGATCTTCTTTGTCTTCTGGACAAACTGATTAGAACATCAAAGAGAAATAAACTCCATGGAAAGACATTTTGTGCTTTTATTAATTCTGATATTTCCGACAATCTCCTAAAATGAGAAATTTCATTGGATGGATTCAAATGTTTCCAAATATTTGCAAATATTTTACTTACATCCTCTGTCATCATATAAACAATATCTTTATCTTATCTTTCCCAAAATATTTAAAGGCTTAAAACTCCAAATATATGTACTTTAAAATCTAACATAAATACATAACACAAACATAGAAATGAGATCATTTAGATTTATTTCTAAACCAAACTAAAACAAACTAAGCTTGATTTGATTATTGACAACTAGAAAAAAACTGGTGAAGTTCATCCTGTACTACAAGAGTCTGGGTGTTTATCAAATAATAGAACAAGCAGCTGATTTTGAAACAACACTGTTTTATGAAAAAAGTACATGCTTTCTTATTTTAAGATTTTGTGTACAACAGATTTTTTACAGATTTTTTAAACAAAAGCCAGAAAGCCTTGGAAGCAACAGGCTCATTTAGCTTCACTTCAAACTGTTTAAAAATCCTCCAGGAATGGACAGATCAGCAAGATTGCCCAAAGAAAAGAGCTTAGATTTTTTTTAAATTCATTTTTAGAGGTGGAGAGTTGGAGAATCTTTACAATAAAGATAAAAGTAATTATAAAAGTGAATGGGCAATGGTAACTAGGGATGTCCTGATACATCTGTTTTAGAAATGACACTGATATTGCAACTTTGAATATTGATTGATGTAGATGTTGACCCAATACAACATCAGCATCAATCTTACTTAATTTTTTCACTCATTTAGTTATCTGGAATGTTAGAAAAGTCTTGAGTAAGTGATATTACTCAAATGGAGAACAATAGTCAGTCAGTGCAAGACTGAATTTTGTCTAGTTAACAAATGAGAAACATAAACTTTAAACATAAGGGAAATACGCTGATGAAGGTTCTCAGTCATCCAGGTCATAGTCAAGTTGGTTTTTGAAACAACTTTAAACAGAGGTGGTGGACTCAGATTCCAGCTTCCAAAAACATACAATTCAATCATAGACATGATCCCTTCCAGATATCATCAAACCCCCCACCCCATCACAGAGGAACAAGGGACCTACCCGCTCCAGCCGGTGAACAATACCTCCTTATCGACCGACTCTTAACAATCATAGACAGGTTTCAGGTATTACAGGAGACAATCCCCCCCTTAACGGCAACCCCCCCACCCCCCCTTAACGACCGACCATCAGAATCATAGACAGGTTTCAGATATTACAGGCTAACGATGGAACCAAACGACCCATTCATTGGTTACCATTTGCATGTTTCCTAGCGATACAAGGTTTTGTCTATATAGGACTCAAACTCACTGCGGATCCAGACATTTGAATTGAGAAAGCTTCCTGGAGAGGTGGCGAAACGTCTTCAAATCTTGGAAACCAAGTCCAGTGGATATTTTTTGAATTTTTACGGAAAAACATAAGGGAAGTGTTTCTATTAGTTTATTTATTTTTATTACAGAGATTTTAAATGCGGGCTGATATTAGTTGATATCTCAATATCAGACCCCCAATAGAAAACCGTCCACTACACTTTTTTTCACAATAGTTATATGACTATTACAGAACAACACTGCTGCCAAAGCACTACAACCGCAAATACTCTTAAAAATCAAGCACAGGTCTACGAGGTCTGTATTGGTGAATCATTTTAGTGGCTGTAGAGAGTAGAAAGTGAGTGGCTGCTGTTCAAAGAGCTGAATTAATGAGGATTGCTCAGGACATGCATGAATCAAGTAAAACACCACAAAATATGATTTTAAATAAGTATAGCATTGTAATATAGTTAAAAACTTTAGAAAAGTTTCATGATACAGGCTCTTTAAAAAAGTTGTGCATGAAAAATGTGACTAAGAATTTAAAAATTTTAATACTATTACCGATCGCTGAAGCTGTCATCATGCCCAGGGTTATAAATTCTAAAGGTTTCAACGTAATCAGCGTCAGGGAGCAATTATTAATAAATTTTTTAAGCTTACTTTCTTTTGTAGGCGCTGTATCATGCTCACCTGCCTTTGTGAGCTGATGGCAGTCTTATCGATGCAGGGTGCATGTCTTTACAGTGTTCCCATCGTATATTTGCAAACAAGACGGCAAATGTGTTGAAAAACAAAGATTCTACTGCCGTTTCAGCGTAAATACCCCTGGAAGGAAGCCCAGTTATTAAACGGGGACCATAACAGCAGGTTACACTGAAATCCACTAGCGAGAACCCTGATGGCACGGTTTTAGTTTTTCACACTTGGCTTTTCAAACTTAAATTCATTCTTGTTTAATAAATCTGTTGTGATATTTTATATATTCTATATCTTGAGGACAGAGTTGAATAACTTTAGCACCGTCCACATATTGGTAGATATGAATAACTGGTAAAACAACTGAATAAAACCATAACCATTTTTGAAAATGTTCTTAGATTTCCTTTGTGTTTCTTACTCTTTCAGTATTTGTTGGTGTTCCTGTCTAAGTCTATGGTTTGCCTCCAACAGATTTGAGTTTTCCCTCTCCAAATCGGTGCTGTGCTGCAGAGACTTTCCGATCATCTCCCGGATTAACTCTGAAGGATCTGGAGCTGGTTGGAGCTCCACGGAGCCCAGGTGTACCTAAATGCCAAAACAGTGAAAGAGAAATATGAAACAATGATTAAATAAATTAAGGAGAACGATCATATTTGATTGTTCTTGTATTTTTGCTTTACAACTGCAGAGAAAGTAAAAAATAATCTGCAGCTTCTCTGGCATTATCATTTATCGGTGGCTGAGAAGCCAAGCAATGAAATCACTTCAATTATTAAGCTCTCACAACTCCAGACAGATCTGACACTGTCCAACTAACTGTGCTGACACTGAAACACAAGTGGATGCTTGTAGTGAAGCTGGAAAAATCCTGAATAAAGTCCGCCTGGCACTGTAGTCTTGACATTGACGCATAAAATTGTTGACTTGCCTCACCTAGCTTCCAAAAATCAGCTACCTATGAAAAATGAGTAAGCATTTGCACCTTTCTGTCATCATGAGGAGTTCTGCAATGGTATGGCATTTAATTTTCACTGAAGTAGGAGACTGTTTGAGCATGAGGCGATTACTTGTGTCTGAGAGAAAGCAGAATGACTTCATCAGTCACCAATAAACTATGCCAGTGAGACATCTCCCCTCTGTTGTATCTTAAGCACTATGGAAAAATAGACATCATTCCAAAGCAAGAAAACGTTCCTCCCTGCCTTCCATTTTGGCATTAAATTAGAGAACAGGCTTGAAAAAAGCTCTTGCAAACTGTACACAATGACATTGTCAGACTTTTATCTGATGTGTAAAAATTTTTTTAATCTCACGGTAAAATGCCGATTTTATCACTTATAGCCACACCCTATTTGCCTGTTGCCCTGGTAATAGCAGCATGTTCACACACAAACATACAACTTAAGGTTCACTGAAAAACCAGAAGGTAACACGGTGTTAAATCTTTACTAGGCCATGGAGAGGTTGAAGACTCACTGCTACAAAGCCTCTACTTTCAAAAGCTCTCATGAAACAGCTGTCATTGTTGACCTGGACTGATGCTGTCCCGGCAGGCCACACAGCTATTTTCCCTTCCTTCACTGAACTTGTACGTGCCACTTAGCAAATACCGACTTCACAATGCTACAGATTTGTGTATATGTTATCCAGCATTCTATATCCTTTTTTGTGTGTTTTTTGTGTAAATGTTGCTTTTCGTCATCCTTTTCTTCTCATTATGTGAAAGGAGAACAAATAATCCTTGTCTATGCCAACCTGAATTATCTCAGGGTGCTGGGGACTGTCACTCACTGGGCGAGATGCAGAATACATCAGTGAGACCTAGTCCATCACAGAGCGACATGTGTTCAAACAAGACAGATAACTATGCATTTTAACACTGATACCTATAGAATATTTCAGGGAAACAATCAACAGCCGTGTTCTTGGACTGGGATATAAGAAAAAATAACCTAACAAAGAGTAGATTTAAAAAGATTGTTTAGTTCATGTTCCAAACCCAGCTACCTGGCATGGATTTTAAACATGGGATCATTGTTTGCTTAGTTTAATGTTTTTAGATATTATTTTGAGTTCCAAAACTGATCTTTTTCATGACATCATGGAACCATAGAGAGTTATTAGCCATCCAGGATACCTTTAAAGCATTGCAGAAGTGATCTAGCTGCTGAAATATGGATCACCTCCCACAATGCGATTCCATCACGGGTTGCATGCCTACAGTAAAATAAAGTAATATCTCAGTTGCACCAATAATAATTTTTTTTTTTTTTTATGATTATTACCTGTCCAACCAGAGTCTGCAGGTCCATGTAATGCATACTGAGTCTTAGCACTGATAAAAATATCTACCCACACTATTACAGACAAAAACAAATGACAGCTAATATTGTACTGTTATTTTTTATAACCTTAGATGCAACTGCTTATCTCTCACATAAAATCTTAAATGCAGACATTTAGCAAATCTGATTATTCAACACACAGATTGATAAAACCACATTGTGGGTTTTAAGAATCTTGGTTCTAAAAATTCAACAATGAGGATCCCCGCTCTTCCTGTTGCTGTTTTATTTTTTTACTCGGTTCAGATTTTTTACTTCTTTGCAGAAATTTTAGAGTAAGCTACTTTGGCACTGCACCAGACCACTCCCTGCACCTAGAGGTGACTAGATCAAACCTTGATGGGATTAGTACAAGAAGCAGACCACCCAGAATTCAAGAAAGAGGATCCCGAGAATAAAAAGAAATGTCCAGTACCATCAACTTGGCTCTGGTGGCCAGTGCAGAGGTCTCTCATGGAGGGAATTAGTGTGACTGAGCCTAATGAGTCATCAGCATGTTGATGTAGCTGTGTTCTGGTTAGATGGGTGGCAAGATTGTTTTGTTTGGCTAGTGTGGTAGAAACACCCATTAAGAATGGATAGTGGTTGTTAAATCAAATTTCAGCACTATTCAAGGAATTGTATCTAATTCAAGGATTTATAAACTGGGTGGGATACATTTTACCATCTGTTTGCATGGGTTGAAAGGCTGCAAATATGTAAAGACAAAAATTCTTAGCTTTGATCTTCCTCTTCCTCTAACCTCCAATCCAATCAATCTTCCCTTCAACCCCATCCTATACATCTTGCAGTGCACCTAAGGAGGGTCAGATAATAATAAATCAGCCACATATGATGGGTGTTGGCAAAACGTTTAACTCTGACATGGTGTGTAGAAAAAATATATGCATTTTAAAGAACATTACTTCCACCTTTTACAGCAATATCTGGACATTTGTGAATCTTCACTCTGCCTGCCAACAGCATTTAGGGAAAAAACTCTTCCATAACTAACACTCAACTAGTTAAAGGCACCATAAACATCTAAACCTGTGGTGGGACTGGCTCTGTTTACTGAATGAGCATCAGAAACGAACCTCAGCTGTTGTTTATTTATTTTGCTCCTGCTGACTTTTAAATACCAAAGGTTTCATATTTCTCCATCCTTAAACTTCAAGGTTTTCTTAGAAGACCTGCAGCTGTAAACACAAGCATTTCACATCACCAAGGGTTTACCTTTGTCGCATGGAAAGGAAGAAGGATATTAAACAGTCTATAAATCTGAAAGTCTATCCAAGCACTGTGTTAACTATTACAGAGATAGTGGTAATTAGACTTTTCCTTTCTCAATTTGTTTCTCCTGACACAGAAACTTAAAGGTCACTTGGCATGCTGCTGCCAACTTGTGCCAACATGTGGGAGGTCAGACTCTTTGTCTGTGATGGAAAACCCACTGCCACATTCCTATCTTTGACAGAAACAATAGTAAAAGAAAGATTTTATCCACAGTAAAAATTTCCGCCACTAAAAGCTTAACAAAATTAAAATGATTCAGTACTCTATTTTCCAGGATACAAAGATACATAAAATAAAGTAAATTTGATAAATTACTTCACATTTTTGGGGATCTGAGATCAAGTTAATACTTGTTGTATCGTAAAAGACTTACTGATTTTAACAACCCACAGTTTATCCACATATGTTAAAGTAAAAAAACTTAAGGTTTATTCAACACAATGTGGTTCAGAGTGTGTGGTCTAGAAGTTTGTTTGTGTGTGTCCGTCTAAAGACACTCAGTCAGACCATAAGGTCAGATGTTGACGTAGGTGTGCAGCACAACTGTCCCAGTGAAAATGATACCATAACATGCTGTGGGTGCTGAAAACAAAGGGTTTTTTTATCTCACCCCTCAAATCAAGATGTACCATATGTTAACAAAAAAAAAACAATAATTTGATGATTAACCGACTGACATATCAGAGCTTTGGTCTTTTACAGTGGCTTCTAATCATACTCATATCTCTTAAATTTTTGCACAATTTCGCATTTTTAAATCTCAATCCAACCAATACAAATCTGTGCAATAGAAATAAAAAACTAAAAAAATTTAAATGGAATTAATTGTTTAGAGTAGTCACAAAAGTTAAATTTCTCCTCAACTAATAATCTAGCTCAATACCATATCTATCTTTTCTGTGAAGGCCTCTAAGATTTGTTAGGGAGCATTAGTGGACAAACAGCACCATGAGAAAAAAGAGGAAAAAAAACTAACTAAGAGGTATCCATTCAACAAAATTAAGAGGCTGGATAAGGAGAGTGCTGTTTTCGTAACTCTGGAGGAGCTGTAGAGAGGAAAGAAAAGCAAGTCAGGGTTAGTATTTAGATGAGCATAGCTAAATACAGAGCAACAGAGGTGAAAAAAACACTTTAGGTAGGGGTGGAGGATCATCTTCCAGCAGGAAAAAAAAACCCTGTAAAACAAGGGCTTCATCTAAATTTTTGCCAAAGCCAAATATCCAATTCAGACACAGGTTTTGTTGAAAAATTGCTGTTAATGCACATATTTCCATCAAATCTGGTTAAAAGGTATTTTGCACACAGAAATTCAGTGTCTAGATGTGCAAAATTGGAAAGGATATACACCAAAGAATGGGCAGCTGTAATGCTGCAGATAAAGGTACAACAAACAAAGTATTATGTTACAAGGGCTGAATGCAAATGCATGCTGTGCTTTTTCAGAATAGTTGTTGTTAAATAACTAAAAAAATAATAATGTAGGCCTGTTTTTCCACTTTAAAATCTGGTTCTATTTTATGTTGATATATTATATAACATAAGTAAAATATATATAGATTTGTGGTTGGAGTGTAAAAATGCAAATCACTACAATTAAAGAACATTGACAATCTTTTTTAATCTTCAGTCTTTAAATAACTATTTCGTCTACCAGACAGAGAAGTGGGTGAGTGAATGCGCCTGATGATGATAAACAGTGTTCAAGGTTTGGCGTGGTTACTTGGTATGGAAGAAGTGGGCACAGAAGTTGAGATCAGCTTGTCTTCTCACCACCAGGATCTACTGTGAAGGGGCGTGAGGCCCGATAAAGAGCAGGAAATGAGGGGCGACAATCAGTTCATTCCTGTGATAATGCAGACTTTTACAAGAACGGCAAGCAGGTTACCAGACAGGAGATAATATAGAAAGATACTTTAAACACTTGCTCTTCAAAGAGATATCTGCCTTAAAAAAAAATGTTGGCTG